CAGTTCTCGGTCGTCGATGTCGGCTGTCGAACGATCGGACGCTCCGAAGAACTTCGCGGCTTGCGAGGTCCCGTTCCCATTCGCGCTGAAACTCGAACTCGCTCAGCAGGATTTCGTTTTCGCCTCGGTCGATCTGAAGCGTCGAATCTCCATCGGACGGATGTCGTCGGTCGAACCTCCGCAGTGTTCCGCGCAACTCCAACTGTTGTCGCGAACTGCGAACTTCCCCGAATGTCGCAGGGAGTGTTCCGCCGGAACTGACGCGCTCGCCAGGTCGAGGCCGTTTGCCCTCGCGAAAACTCGGCACCGTCGATGCAGTCCATCGAACGGTTGGCGAGGCATCTCGCCTTCGAAGGGGACCCCAGGTGCAACTGCGAGAGGTGAGTCGAAACGTAAATGAGAGTGCATTGTACTTACAGGAATTGAAGTTTCGACTCCATCCTCCGCGTGCTCCTGGGGGCCCAGCGGTTAAGCGTTGAGCTGAAACCTTGGCTCTGATAACCAAGTGTCACAGGATCGAATGTCCCGAGGAAAGGTTTGCTCAATGTTGCCCTATCAATCAGTACAAGGTGCTTTTATACTTCCAGAATACATCAGGTAACCAGGTTTATCCTATCCAAAGGGAATAGACCCTTCTAGAAATAGAATCACCCTGCGTATAGCCACGCGAGGCTATTGGCTATAAGGGATTACGGCAGGATTACGCTAGATATAGCGCGCCAGTACATCCCGAGCCTGGTCGGTGATATAATCATAATAATAGGATAAAACCCAAGGATAATGGAAAATGAGGAATAGGAAACCAAATGAGATGAGATAAAGACCAAATGAATCAGGAGTGAAAGAGGAATGAAATAGAAATGAAATATGGAAAAGGGGAAATTGGGTGTAACGGTGTCGTACTCTCACAGGCTGCCTGCGTTAGCAGAGCACGCATCTTCTCCTGCAGAGTTTTGTTCATCCTTTCTGGTACCCCCATCTGTTGATGTGCATGTGGCAGTGCCTACTTCCGTTTCTTGCCGAGTGTCTGAAGATATTCTGTGAAAGGGTTGCTGGTGTACTCCCCTGCACCATCACTCTGAAATTCTTGCAGTTTCACGTCTGACTCTCGTTCAGCGACAGCGAGCCACGCGACGAAGACGGAGTGAGCGAGATAACGAGCGGGAAGGTTTGCTGTCCAGACTAGCGTGTAGATGCTTCGATGAATGTTATCACGTACTTCTCGTCTTTAGGTCCTGCTTCAGGTAAGTTTAATATGTCGCTGTAGACTTTCTGCATCAGTTTACAAACGATCGGTTGGCAACTGGACAAGTGGTGCAAACCGTGGGACGGGACTGCGGCTTCATCTTCGTGCCGTCAGGTAATAGAAGACTATTTTTTATCCAGAACTGCTGCTCGTATTGAATGATTAAGAATCCCCTGCGATGGATGTCCTAACCGTTGATGCCAGATATCTTCTTGGGCTTTGTGTCCTCATGGTCGCAGGTAAAAATCGGTGTTGGTATAAAAAGAAGAAATGATATAAGGAGATAGCGTTGGTGATCGGTCAACGTCACCTTCAACAAAACGTGTAAGGGGTAATGGAACATTTGAAGGTGCTGCAGTTGCGATTACAACTTCTGATACTGCTTCTGTTGATGTTGTGGCAGGTGTTTCGGTGACAGCTACTGTTGAACACGGCTGCTCGGCGACTTCTTCCTTTTCGACTTCTTTAACGACGTCAGGTTCATCAGCGGCAAGTCCACTAATTTCTCCCCAAAGTGGTGCTTGAGTTCCTTGGAAGGCTGCACGGGTATTATAAAACGTTCGCCACGCGGTGGCGCTTTCATCGGCGGTATTGAACTCCCAGGTATCCAACGAGGTAACTACGGCAGCTGCAGTTCGAGAAGCCGTTGGTACCAGTAGTTGCTCGAAAGTCAATATCCACGTGTTGATAATCTGTTTCTTTCTGGATGATCCCAAGGACCAAGTGCAAGGACGCGTTCAGAATCGCCAGAAGTTCCCTGTGCTGCGAACTGAAGAACGGACACGCCATGTTGAGTGGCGGCACGACCAAGGTAAGTATTCGTTGAACTGTGCCAGAGCTCCTGATCCATCGTTTCACAATTGCCCTGTGTGCGGATCTTGTGTGCCAGGAGCTGAGCCATGGAAAGGAGATTGAATCCAAGTCCAGCGACGATAAGAACATTGGTAACATGTAGTGAGTATCCCGTGTCGATAGATTCGAGCATAACACTCCCAACAGAACGTGCCATAATAGTTTGTCCCGTTTGCGACTGTGACAGGTATCGGACGACGAAGTGGACGCTGGTTTGGTGATGAAGCTTGTTTCTGCGGAGCACATGTGCCAACCGCAGCAGCTGTCGAGATACCAAGTATTCGGTCCTGAAATTATTAAGCAAGGTTAGCGTAACTTGAGGTAAAGGAATGCCTTCAGCACTTGTGGTTTCTTCAAGTCGTGTCTCGAAATCTGTTTTCTGAAACATCAACTGTCGTGAAGCATCCAAAGACCCCTTTCCCTGATGTTGCAGATGCAAAAACCGGAGGACGATGCTGTGACGCAGACGGATTCTGCGGCGTTTTCGGCATCTGCTGCATTTGGGCCGTCGACTGCTGCGTGGGCTAATGTGGCTTCGGTAACTGCTGCGAGCGATGATAAGGCTGTGAAGTGCTGCGTCGGTTTTGATGTCGACTGCAACAATTCTGGTAAGTGTGTCCTGGTTTCTTGCAGAAATGGCAGAAAGGATATTTCAGGGGATGACGATGTTGCGCTTCTAGATTTGAGTAAAAACTCAAGTGTAGTCCCTTCTTCTGATTTCGTTGTGACTGCAGGTCCAGATCTTGCTGCTCCGCTTGAAGATACGACAAAATTTCAGCTTCGGAGAGGTTTGGGTTCATGCGCAGAAAAGGCGCGCGTCTGTCACCATTCGGGTCCAAGGCCAGCAAGAAGGACCGTGAGATACATCTCACGAGGGAAGTATCCCCCGCTTTTCTTCAGTTGATCACGTAGTGTAAGGACGCGATTGACGTAATCCATGACGTTCTCGTTTGTCATCATCTGCACACTTGTCTGTTGCGAAAGTATTTTACTCACTGTTATGGTATCCTTTGCCATGTATACCCCCTTCAAGTGGTTCCATGCAGTTTCAGCTGGTGTAAAGCTTGAGTGAAAATATCGGACGCCGAGTTGCTCCTTCGGCGACAGGTTTCGAACAAGAACTGTATACGCCCCGAGAGAGGCGTGCAAGAAACTCTGCTGCTCCAGTTGTGTTCCCACGACAGGATACGTGAACTCGCCGGTGAAGAACGGCCATAGCCCACCGGACTGCGCCAGAAGCTCAAACTCAAAGCTCCAGGAGTAGAAGTCGACTTCGCTAAAAGGTATAGTGGTTTTTATTTGTGTGCTGTTCAGTAAATTTGGTGGTTGAAAAATAGCACCCGGTTGTTAAGGCAGTTGCTGTTGCCGTTGCTGTTGCTGAAATTGTGTTGTTGTTGTTGCTGTTGCTGTGGCTGTTGATGCTGTTGCTGAGCAGGAGATCGCCCAAATATATAAAAGGGATGCTGCTGCTGTTGTGACTGCTGCTGCTGCACAAAAGGTGAGAAAGCGAATGAACCAGTACTTGGAGCTGAGGCTCCACGCATGTAACTCGAGCCGTCAAGGCTCATTCCACTGGAACGCTGACGATATTGACTGTGTTGAAAACGGTGGTTGTGCTGATGCTTGTTGCTGTGCTGTTGTCTGTGTTAGTTGTTGTTGTGCTGCAGGGGCAGTTGATGACATTCCTGGGAGTGCTGACAGAAGACGGATTCTGCTGCTGCTGGCTGCATACCGATATGCGCATAAGCCGGTGAAAATGGTCCAGAGGCTGAGAGACCAGTGGCGGTCGTGGAGACATGTACTCCAGTAGTCCCGGAAGTTGATCCGGCAGACGATGCTGGTAATGAACCCGTCATTGTTTACAATAGTCTTAATTCCAGATAGCTCTCATACCATATAATATTTTGACAGGTGTTGCAGAAGACTAAGTATAGAACCTGCAAAAACGAACACTTGGAAAACCTCAAGTGTTAGCCTAGGATCTTTACTGGAATGGTAGACTAGTAAGACAACGGAAGTCTTGTAAGAATGAACCTGAGTATATATTTGTGCAGAAGTTAAGTTTCAAAGTTCTCAAAGTTGAAATCTCAAGGTTAATAATAAAAGGACAGAACAAAGACTTATAGCTCTAGGAAATTACCTGTTCGCTAATGTACCTGCTCATCACTATCGCGCTATGCGCCCTAGATGATAATGAAGAGGTGCGACTATTCGCGTGACTGAAACGACTGTCCTATGACGAGCGCTATTTGCTGACGTCATCCTAGGGACTTATCTTTGAAATAAATCGTCTGATGTTTGTAGTAGACTAAGTATAAAATCTGCTAACACGAGTACTTCACCAAGGATCTTTGCTGGAATGATAGACTAGTAAGACAGCGGAAGTCTTGTAAAATGTAAAGGTCAAGGTTGAATAACATGAGTACGTGAACTTGTGAGTAATCAAAGTTGAATAACGTGAGCACATAATTCTGTGGAAAGTCAAGGTTAATAATAGAAAGGCATTACAAGAATGTATAAGCTCTAGGGAAAGTACCTGTTTGCTAATGTATCTGTTCGTCACTATCGCGCTATGCGACCTATTCGTCATTCTATAGGGTCGTGACTGTTCGCGTGACTGAAACGACTCGTTACGCCTATTCACGTAACTGACGCGGTATGCTGGCGTCATCCCGAGACCCACGATGCTTTGCCGACATCAGCACTCGGGCATGATTACTTACTGGAGAAACTCGATACTGCTAACTACACTGAAAACGGAACATGCAGGAATGCAAAACTTCATTTATCACAACAATCTTCTACGTAGGATTCAACACTATCGATAAACGACTTACAAAAATGCTAAGTATGAAATATATCACAACAATAGACAACCGCGACATAAGAAGACTCCCAAGGATTTGCTCTCACGTGTATATACATCCATGTGCTATCGCAAATAACTCGCTGGTGCAAATTTCATTATCACTCCTTCCCACAGCTTAGGTTCATGCAACAGGCAAGCTGTTATGTTGGACAAAAACAACGATGCGACCAGTAGAGAGTATGGTATGGTACGACATGATCTCCACCAAGTGCATTTCAATGTCATAATTAAAAATGTATCCAGACCTTTACATCTCCCAAGGCTTATTGCTGATGCACGTGCCATTGTTGGACTGGGTCTGTAAGGTCAGCTGGACGAAGTCTCCGTGGCGGGCCAGATGAGGAACAGCCTCACATCGTGGCTTGGAACTCGAATGCTCAGTTCCCCTGAGATGACCTTGTCCATGGTTGCCTTCTGCACAAGAGGGACACATAGCAGGGTGGAGACACAGCCACTCTTACAGAGTCTCAGTGGCGGGCCAGACGAGGAACAGCCTCACATCGTGACTTGGAACTCGAGCACTCAGCGCCCCTGAGATGACCTTGTCCATGGTTGCCTTCTGCACAAGAGGGGGAGAAACGCAGGGTGACACCATAGTAGCAGCATCACTGGACGGGATGGAGACATGTGACACTGGATATGCATGTGCATGTGCATGTGCTCGCATGGTTGCCTTCAACACAGGGGGTGACCAAACAAGGTGACACCATGGTAGCAGCACCACAGGACGGGATGGAGACATGTGACAGTGGATATGCATGTGCATGTGCATGTGCATGTGCTCGCATGTGCGTAAGTGTGAGGAAGAGGGTTGGGATGAGGGAGGGAAAGGGGGGGGGGAGGAAAGGGGGGGGGGGGGTGGTAAGAGGGAGGAAAGGGGGGCAAAAGACTAGTTAACACAACTACCTTCCAGAGGCCGCGTGCATGCATCGGCTGCACCGGATTCAGGCCAATCACTTTCCGACTAGCTTTCACATTAAAGCACCTGTCAAGAGAAGTTCACAAAGCCATGGGTTCGAGGTTCACCCGTACCTTCCAAAGGTCGCGTGCATACATCGGCTGCACCGGATTCAGGCCAATCGCTTTCCAGCGGGCAGTCACCTTCGCGCTTATTGGGCTGCGATTCACCAGGGCTACCACCCACCGACCCTCAGACAGAGGTCCGGACCAAACCTGCAGGTTCCAAGGACAGGCCGCATGGGGAAGGGAGAGGCACACACAGAAACGAAAAGGGATGGCCTTTAGGAGCACGCTGTATTCACGTAGCTAAAATGGCTTCGGTCTGCAAATGAGGCAACGAAGAGGGATGGCTCTCTGCTCTGAATAAAGCAGTGCTGAATCAACACTGCTGAATAAGCGTCGCAGAATTAGTGCTGCCCCATGAGGTAGTTGCTGTGAAGTGCCACAAGGACCAGCTCGCTTGCAAGCACATGCAGCATCATCAGAGTCAGCTTACCAAGTGGACACAGAATGCATGGTTCGCGTGAAAAGGTCTACTTCTGCCCACTCACCTCCCCCCCACTGCACTCACCTCCCCCCACTGCACTCACCTCCCCCCACTGCACTCACCTCCCCTCACTGCACTCACCTCCCCCCACTGCACTCACCTCCCCCCACTGTACTCTCCTCCCACCAAGAGAGGGGTAGTCCCTATTCCAGCCAACTCACTCACCTTGGGCGAACAAGGGCCCATCTGACCTCACTCACCCTAGGCGAGCAAGGGCCCATCTGACCTCCCTCACCCTAGGCGAGCAAGGGCCCATCTGACCTCTCTCACCTCTATGAGGCTGTCCTCAGAGACTTGCACCTTCCTTGCCTGCACTCCCAGCCGGTCTGCACCAATCGTAATGTGCCACGTGTGAGCAAATACACCAATCACGTGTGAGCAAATACACCAATCACGTGTGAGCAAGTACACCAATCACGAGCACACACCTGGCACGAGCACACACCTGGCTCCAGCACGCACCTGGCAGGAGCACACACCTGCAGGAGCACAGACTTGGCACGAGCACACACCTGGCACGAGCACACACCTGGCACGAGCACACACCTGGCACGAGCACACACCTGGCACGAGCACACACCTGGCACGAGCACACACCTGGCACGAGCACATACCTGGCACGAGCACACACCTGGCACGAGCACACACCTGGCACGAGCACACACCTGGCTCCAGCACACACCTGGCACGAGCACACACCTGGCACGAGCACACACCTGGCTCCAGCACACACCTGGCACGAGCACACACCTGGCTCCAGCACACACCTGGCACGAGCACACACCTGGCACGAGCACACACCTGGCACGAGGACACACCTGGCACGAGCACACACCTGGCACGAGCACACACCTGGCACGAGCACACACCTGGCACGAGCACACACCTGGCACGAGCACACACCTGGCTCCAGCACACACCTGGCACGAGCACACACCTGGCACGAACGCACACCTGGCACGAGCACACACCTGGCTCCAGCACACACCTGGCACGAGCACACACCTGGCACGAGCACACACCTGGCTCCAGCACACACCTGGCACGAGCACACACCTGGCTCCAGCACACACCTGGCACGAGCACACACCTGGCACGAGCACACACCTGGCACGAGCACACACCTGGCTCCAGCACACACCTGGCACGAGCACACACCTGGCACGAGCACACACCTGGCACGAGCACACACCTGGCACGAGCACACACCTGGCACGAGCACACACCTGGCAACGGCACACCACACCTGGCTCCAGCACACACCTGGCACGAGCACACACCTGGCACGAGCACACACCTGGCTCCAGCACACACCTGGCACGAGCACACACCTGGCTCCAGCACACACCTGGCACGAGCACACACCTGGCACGAGCACACACCTGGCACGAGGACACACCTGGCACGAGCACACACCTGGCACGAGCACACACCTGGCACGAGCACACACCTGGCACGAGCACACACCTGGCTCCAGCACACACCTGGCACGAGCACACACCTGGCACGAGCACACACCTGGCTCCAGCACACACCTGGCACGAGCACACACCTGGCTCCAGCACACACCTGGCACGAGCACACACCTGGCACGAGCACACACCTGGCACGAGCACACACCTGGCTCCAGCACACACCTGGCACGAGCACACACCTGGCACGAGCACACACCTGGCACGAGCACACACCTGGCACGAGCACACACCTGGCACGAGCACACACCTGGCACGAGCACACACCTGGCTCCAGCACACACCTGGCACGAGCACACACCTGGCACGAGCACACACCTGGCTCCAGCACACACCTGGCACGAGCACACACCTGGCTCCAGCACACACCTGGCACGAGCACACACCTGGCACGAGCACACACCTGGCACGAGGACACACCTGGCACGAGCACACACCTGGCACGAGCACACACCTGGCACGAGCACACACCTGGCACGAGCACACACCTGGCTCCAGCACACACCTGGCACGAGCACACACCTGGCACGAACGCACACCTTGGTTAACAGCAATGACTTCATCATTCCCCAGAATGCGCAGTGTCGCATTTGATACACGAGAGAGGTCGCAGCCAATCAAGAGAGGCGCCTGGTGAAAGGAGGTGGAGGGAAGAGGGGGGGAGGGGGAGGGAAGGACGGTTGAGGAGGGAAGTGAGTGCTTCGGTTGGAAATTTACTGACTCACTCATTAAAGGTCTCACTTTTCTCCGACTCACTCATTAAAGGTCTCACTTTTCTCCGACTCACTCATTAAAGGTCTCACTTTTCTCCGACTCACTCATTAAAGGTCTCACTTTTCTCTGAGTCACTCCTTCCCTAGAATGATGTCATTCCTTTCAGTAAGAAATGTGCAGTGTTGCATTTGATACACGAGAGAGGTCGCAGCCAATCAGGAGAGGCGCCTAGTGAAAGGATGTTGAGGGTGGGGGAGGGGAGGGGGGGGGGGTTGAGGACGGGTGTAGAGGGAAATGAGTGCTTCGGGTGGAAATTTACTGGTCTTAAATCCCTCCAAATCCCTCCAAATCCCTCCAAATCACTCATTCCCTAGAATGATGTCACTTCCCTTCAGTAGGAAATGAGTGCTTCGGTAGTGGATGAGTGATCCGAGATTGCTCTTCCCTCCGAAGGATGTAGATGGGGTGGGCGGGCAGGATGGGTGCGGAGGGAAGTGAGTGTTCCGGTTGGAAATTTACTTCACAACTGTGTTGATAAGATTATCTCAGTGCCGACCTTTCTGGAATTTACGTCGCTCGCAAAAATGTTTGAGTGGAGTCAAAAGCAGACTCATTACAGAGTGTGTTGTTACTCTCGTTGCTGACCTTGATATAATTTACCCTAAAAGGTCTAATGATCTTGAGACGGTCAGTTTTGAGGCGCCTCAAAAGGAGTCTAATTTTTAGGCGCCATAAAAAGCACATCGTACATACGCACCATTGCGAATCGAAAGCATCAGTTTTGAGGCGCCTCAAAAGGAGTCTATTTCTTAGGCGCCAGAAAAAGCACATCGTACATACGCACCATTGCGAATCAAAAGCATCAGTTTTGAGGCGCCTCAAAAGGAGTCTATTTCTTAGGCGCCAGAAAAAGCACATCGTACATACGCACCATTGCGAATCGAAAGCATCAGTTTTGAGGCGCCTCAAAAGGAGTCTATTTTTTAGGCGCCAGAAAAAGCACATCGTACATACGCACCATTGCGAATCGAAAGCATCAGTTTTGAGGCGCCTCAAAAGGAGTCTATTTTTTAGGCACCAGAAATAGCACATCGTACATACGCACCATTGCGAATCGAAAGCATCCCTTTTGAGGCACCTAACGAATACACTCCTACACGCATGGCATGCACACCGTAGATATGCACCATCGCAGATCGAAAGCGTAAAAGAGGCCCGTCCTCTTTCCATGCTCACCTCACTTTCATGATGGCCCAGAGACTGGAATGCACGCGACACTCTCTCATACCTTTTGTGACGTCTCAAGGGCCATCTCCATGCATGCACCCATGCCCACCTCCATGCACCCATGCCCACCTCCATGCATCCATGCCCACCTCCATGCACCCATGCCCACCTCCATGCACCCATGCCCACCTCCATGCACCCATGCCCACCTCCATGCATCCATGCCCACCTCCATGCACCCATGCCCACCTCCATGCACCCATGCCCACCTCCATGCACCCATGCCCACCTCCATGCACCCATGCCCACCTCCATGCACCCATGCCCACCTGCAAGCACCCATGCCCACCTTCATGATGGCCCAGAGGCTGAAGTGCACGCGGTACTCCGACTCTCTCATGCCGCCATTCCCCACCTGCAGCATGTCGGGGTCTGCGAGGGGGGGCGGTTATCAGGAGACAAGAGTTCGGGGAAAGAGATTGGACACCTGAGCTCTTGAGTAGTGCACTCGACACTCCCCGTTTTCATATGTCCCCCATTCCCCACCTGCAGCATGTTGGGGTCTGTGAGGGGGAGGGTCAAGTGTGTGGGGGTGAAGGTTTGCAGAGTGGAGGGTTCGGGGAAAGAGATTGGACACCTGAGCTCTTGAGCAGTGCACTCGGTCGGTACTCCCCAGTTTCACATGATTCCATTCCCCACCTGCAGCATGTCGGGGTCTGTGAGGGGGAGGTTCAAGTGTGGGGGGAAGGGGGGCGGAGTGGAGGGTTTGGGGAAAGAGATTGGACACCTGAACTCGTGAGCAGTGCACTTGGTGCTCCCTACTTATACATGTCCCCATCCCCCACCTGCAGCAACTCAGAGTGTGATCTGAGTGGACAATCAAAAAGTGGGTGTGGAGGGTGTTGGACAGAGGGGAAGGGGGGGGGGGGCAGCACGGTGCTTGTGCCATGGCATACTTTTGCAAGCAGCATGACTGGTTGAAGGATGATGCGGGCCGATGAGCAAGCATTGATTGACCTTGGAGCATTTTCACTGCTTGATCGCAATGGTGCCACGGAGCCATGGTGCCACCTTTACCCTTCCAAACTCTAGCTTTTACCCTTCCCTCAAAGATTTTAGCCCCTGCTTCTTCAAATCACCCACTGATAAGCGCCGTTCCACCCGCCTGCCTTGACGTGCGTGGCTGACTAGCTGTTGGCTCGATTGAGTGCCTCACAAGCGACTACGTGTGTCGGGAACCTTGTGTGTCGGGCACCTCGTGTGTTGGGCACCTTGTGTTGGGTCTGAGTCGGCTATAGCTTCCGCGCGAAACTACAGCTCCCAGGCAACGAAATGTCAAACGTGCTCACAGCAAGCCAACCTTGCTCGTGACTGATGCCAACGTCCTACCGTTAGCTCGTAGCAAGGACTCCTCGCCTACGGCTACAAAACGCAGTCGCACTGAGCGCTCGGACTCCGACACGCCAACTCGCCCATCGCCTCCGGCCGATGTGATTTCGCCTTGCAAGGGCTCCTTGCACTAGGATTATATAGAAGCACTGGGCTCTATGATAATCTCCTCGTCGACACGATTCCAACGTTATCCTCACGTTTGCTAGAAGTCGTGATTATGTACTGCAAGTTTCAGAACTCAACTTTATTTTTAAATAACAAACAGATAAACACTTTTATAGTCAACCAGAATGCCAATTCGCGGCTCGTAACCACCAAGGGCGCTTTGACTAACGAGCGCGCCTCGTTTCGTTTCAGGTCGCACACGCAATCACATCGGAACGCGGTCCGCGTGTTTCAACACCGACACCGACCCCAAGTTCGGTGCCACTGAACGCACACCGTCCAAAATCCCATTTTCTTCCACAACTCCTCCTGTAACTCCACAACACATGTTCTTCACACCTTCCTTCCCACTCCTTCCCCTTCTTCTTCTTCATCTCCCGTCATCCTATTTCCACCGTTCTTTCCTTGGTGCACCACCGTCGCACAGTCGCACCGTCACTTCTTCCGAATTCCCACCAATATTCCTCAATCACCGCTATTTTTTCAATTGACTTTTCTTCCGTTCCCACCGCCTGAAATTCCTCCCACGATTCTGCTCGCCACCCCTAGGTCGCCCTAGTGGTTGGCGAACCAATGCCAACATTGGGCACCTCATGTGTTGGGCACCTCGTGTGTTTGGGCACCTCGTGTGTTGGGCACCTCGTGTGTTGGGCACCTCGTGGTGGGTGTGTGGGCACCTCGTGTGTTGGGCACCTCGTGTGTTGGGGCACCTCGTGTGTTGGGCACCTCGTGTGTTGGGCACCTCGTGTGTTGGGCACCTCGTGTGTTGGGCACCTCGTGTGTTGGGCACCTCGTGTGTTTGGGCACCTCGTGTGTTGGGGCACCTCGTGTGTTGGGGCACCTCGTGTGTTGGGCACCTCGTGTGTTGGGCACCTCGTGTGTTGGGCACCTCGTGTGTTGGGCACCTCGTGTGTTGGGCACCTCGTGTGTTGGGCACCTCGTTGTGGTTTGGGGCACCTCGTGTGTTGGGCACCTCGTGTGTTGGGCACCTCGTGTGTTGGGCACCTCGTGTGTTGGGCACCTCGTGTGTTGGGCACCTCGTGTGTTGGGCACCTCGTGTGTTTTGGGCACCTCGTGTGTGCTTGGGGCACCTCGTGTGTTGGGCACCTCGTGTGTTGGGCACCTCGTGTGTTGGGCACCTCGTGTGTTGGGGCACCTCGTGTGTTGGGCACCTCGTGTGTTTGGGCACCTCGTGTGTTGGGCACCTCGTGTGTTGGGCACCTCGTGTGTTGTGGGCACCTCGTGTGTTGGGCACCTCGTGTGTTGGGCACCTCGTGTGTTGGGCACCTCGTGTGTTGGGCACCTCGTGTGTTGGGCACCTCGTGTGTTGGGCACCTCGTGTGTTGGGCACCTCGTGTGTTGGCACCTCGTGTGTTGGGCACCTCGTGTGTTGGGCACCTCGTGTGTTGGGCACCTCGTGTGTTGGGCACCTCGTGTGTTGGGCACCTCGGTGTGGGCTGTGTGTTGGGCACCTCGTGTGTTGGGCACCTCGTGTGTTGGGCACCTCGTGTGTTGGGCACCTCGTGTGTTGGGCACCTCGTGTGTTGGGCACCTCGTGTGTTGGGCACCTCGTGTGTTGGGCACCTCGTGTGTTGGGCACCTCGTGTGTTGGGCACCTCGTGTGTTGGGCACCTCGTGTGTTGGGCACCTCGTGTGTTGGGCACCTCGTGTGTTGGGCACCTCGTGTGTTTGGGGGCACCTCGTGTGTTGGGCACCTCGTGTGTTGGGCACCTCGTGTGTTGGGCACCTCGTGTGTTGGGCACCTCGTGTGTTGGGCACCTCGTGTGTTGGGCACCTCGTGTGTTGGGCACCTCGTGTGTTGGGCACCTCGTGTGTTGGGCACCTCGTGTGTTGGGCACCTCGTGTGTTGGGCACCTCGTGTGTTGGGCACCTCGTGTGTTTGGGCACCTCGTGTGTTGGGCACCTCGTGTGTTGGGCACCTCGTGTGTTGGGCACCTCGTGTGTTGGGCACCTCGTGTGTTGGGCACCTCGTGTGTTGGGCACCTCGTGTGTTGGGCACCTCGTGTGTTGGGCACCTCGTGTGTTGGGCACCTCGTGTGTTGGGCACCTCGTGTGTTGGGCACCTCGTGTGTTGGGCACCTCGTGTGTTGGGCACCTCGTGTGTTGGGCACCTCGTGTGTTGGGCACCTCGTGTGTTGGGCACCTCGTGTGTTGGGCACCTCGTGTGTTGGGCACCTCGTGTGTTGGGCACCTCGTGTGTTGGGCACCTCGTGTGTTGGGCACCTCGTGCTGTTGGGCACCTCGTGTGTGGGTGTGGGGCACCTCGGTGTGTTGGGCACCTCGTGGTGTTGGGCACCTCGTGTGTTGGGCACCTCGTGTGTTGGGCACCTCGTGTGTTGGGCACCTCGTGTGTTGGGCACCTCGTGTGTTGGGCACCTCGTGTGGGGTGTGGGGGCACCTCGTGTGTTGGGCACCTCGTGTGTTGGGCACCTCGTGTGTTGGGGGCACCTCGTGTGTTGGGCACCTCGTGTGTTGGGCACCTCGTGTGTGTTGTGGGCACCTCGTGTGTTGGGCACCTCGTGTGTTGGGCACCTCGTGTGTTGGGCACCTCGTGTGTTGGGCACCTCGTGTGTTGGGCACCTCGTGTGTTGGGCACCTCGTGTGTTGGGCACCTCGTGTGTTGGGCACCTCGTGTGTTGGGCACCTCGTGTGTTGGGCACCTCGTGTGTTGGGGCACCTCGTGTGTTGGGGGCACCACTCACCATTCCACCCGCCTGGCTTGGCGTACTTGGCCCACTTGTTGTTAAGGTCTGCAATCCGAATCATGCTGGATGTGCCACATGCCATGTGCCATGTGCCGCCATGTGCCATGTGCCATGTGCCACATGCCACGTGCCACGTGCCATGAGTCATATGCCGTGTGCCATGTGCCATGTGCCATGCATGCAGGGAGGGAGCAGGGTACATGCACGTAGATAAAGAGGTGAAGTTCGGAAGAATTGACATCGCATGGACATAGGTAGTAGGGAAACTTCTTCTCATCTCTCCCTTCCTCTCGAGGCGAGTTTTTACGTTGAGTCAAATAAAAAATGACCTCAGTTGCTTATACACGGGAAGGGAGATGACTTCCCATCCCTTCCTAGTTTTGAGGTGCCTCAAAACTAGACTCCTATCACGCACTTTTGAGACTCCTCAAAACTAGACTCCTATCACGCGCAATTTTGAGACGCCTCGAAACAAGTTGCATATATACACAGGCAGGGAGATGACTTCGCATCCCTTCCTTCCCCTCCCCTTCCCCAATAGCTTCAATCCTCTTGCTCCGCTTCCCTCTTCCTCTCCCCTCCTTGCCATTCCTTTCTCCTCCGTCCGCTCACCCGTCTTCTCAATTTCTTCTCCCTCCCCTCTCCTCATCCACGCCACTTTCTACCCCTTCGCCACGTGCCCTTCTTCCCCTTCTCCACGTGTCATTCCTCCCCTTCTCCACGTGTCCTTCCTCCCCTTCTCCACGTGTCCTTCTTCCCCTTCACCAAGTGTCCTTCCTCTCCTCCACGTGTCCCTTCTCACCTCCTCCACGTGTCCCCAATGTCAACGGTGGTCCGCCAGGAGTCTGCCACGTCATACGCCCACAGAGCAGGGTCATCCTGTCCCCTGCATGGAGTAGCACACGTGGCAGGATGGGCAGGCAAGACGTGGCAAGACAAGGCAGGCCAACACGTGGCATGCATGCCAAGGGAGGCCGACAGATGGCATGACAAGGCAGGCCGACACGTGTCATGATCAGATCAGAGATCAAGGCAGCGCAGGTCACCATGCGCTCTTGACTATTGTCTGCTTAGTCCTACGCCAATCCAAGACACCATTGGTAGCTACAGTGGCATGAAAGTGGCCAGCAGAACAGAGTAGCAGGGTGGGATCTAGGACACACCGCAAATGCGTTTGTTTGCATTCGAGCAAAGTTGGGATCCACTCAGCTCACCACAGGATGCTCTCAGCTCACCATTCGCACATGGTGCATTCTAAGATGGGATGTTCTGAGCTCACCAGGATGCTCTCAGCTCACCATTCGCACATGGTGCATTCTAAGATGGGATGTTCTGAGCTCACCAGGATGCTCTCAGCTCACCATTCGCACATGGTGCATTCTAAGATGGGATGTTCTGAGCTCACCAGGATGCTCTCAGCTCACCATTCGCACATGGTGCATTCTAAGATGGGATGTTCTGAGCTCACCAGGATGCTCTCAGCTCACCATTCGCACATGGTGCATTCTAAGATGGGATGTTCTGAGCTCACCACAGGATGCTCTCAGCTCATCATTCGCACATGGTGCATTCTAAGATGGGATGTTCTGACCTCACCACAGGATGCTCTCAGCTCATCATTCGCACATGGTGCATTCTAAGATGGGATGTTCTGACCTCACCACAGGATGCTCTCAGCTCACCATTCGCACATGGTGCATTCTAAGATGGGATGTTCTGACCTCACCACAGGATGCTCTCAGCTCACCATTCGCACATGGTGCATTCTAAGATGGGATGTTCTGTTCTGACCTCACCACAGGATGCTCTCAGCTCACCATTCGCACATGGTGCATTCTAAGATGGGATGTTCTGACCTCACCACAGGATGCTCTCAGCTCACCATTCACACATGGAGAAGAAGATGTCCCTCCCTGTGGCCTCCAGTGCATTGCGCATGACTGTGTAGCTGAGGGTGCATTTAGGCGTCAGAGGAGGATGAGTTAAGGGGGAGGGGGGGAGTGGGGGCAGAGGGACGATTCAGTTTGGTGCGCTATGGTCGTGAGTGGTGACGGTGAAGCACGCAAACCGTTTTTGACAGTGAGGCACCATACTGAAACGCACTGAACGAACGGCAAATGAACGAGTGGGATGCACCCTAAAAGAATGAACAAACGAACGAGGGAAAACGGACAGAAGCAGTCGGAAGACGGGAAGAAAGGCAATCCATCGTGACAGGTCGATGGGAGAGGGGAGGAAAGCGATGGAATCTGTGATGCCTCAAAGCGAACGTGAGGCCCACACGAGTGACGCCAATACGGTGATGCCAACACAACACAAGTGATGCCGACACAAGTGATGCCGACACGAGTGATGTTGACACGACGTACCGCAACTTGTTTGGGGTTCCATCGTTGTAGCAGTTGTCGTATTTCAGGTAGTCCACTCCCTGCCATGCCATGGATGTGCACAGTCACAGCAGGCAGGCAGATGTCAGAATTCTGTCATTAGCTATCACACGGAGCCACAGCACGCAATGGGCCGCAAACAGTCGGTATGAAGCAGCCCTGATTCGACCTGAAGGTCTTATGGTGTTGGAATCAGACAATGGTGGCAATTGTATTTGCGTTACCTAGAATGCTAAGGTATCTCCCATAGATATGCAGGAATCACCCTAAAACAGTAATCAAGAAACGATACTTGATCCAGCAAACTTCATAAACTTTTTCGACCATGAGCCTTACCCATTCAGCAAAGGTGTGGGCGTCAATGGCCTCATGCCCAAGTGAACCGGGCTTGCCTTCACACGTGCGAGTCCTGATGGGATCATGGGAGGGAGAGGAGTGGAGGCATCAGAGATGATACCTACCCTGGGTTGGTTCCGTTGCTATGCGCCCTTTCCCCCTTCATGGGCGCCATTTCCCCTCCCTGTGCGCCTTTTCCCGCTTCATGTGCGCCATTTCCCCTCCCTGTGCGCCTTTTCCCCCTTCATGTGCGCCATTTCCCCTTCCTGCGCGCCTTTTCCCCCTTCATGTGCGCCATTTCCCCTTCCTGTGCGCCTTTTCCCCCTTCATGTGCGCCTTTTGCCCCTTCATGTGCGCCATTTCTCCTTCATGTGCGCCATTTCCCCTTCCTGTGCGCCTTTTGCCCCTTCATGTGCGCCATTTCTCCTTCATGTGCGCCATTTCTCCTTCATGTGCGCCATTTCTCCTTCATGTGCGCCATTTCTCCTTCATGTGCGCCATTTCTCCTTCATGTGCGCCATTTCTCCTTCATGTGCGCCATTTCTCCTTCATGTGCGCCATTTCTCCTTCATGTGCGCCATTTCTCCTTCATGTGCGCCATTTCTCCTTCATGTGCGCCATTTCTCCTTCATGTGCGCCATTTCTCCTTCATGTGCGCCATTTCTCCTTCATGTGCGCCATTTCTCCTTCATGTGCGCCATTTCTCCTTCATGTGCGCCATTTCTCCTTCATGTGCGCCATCTCTCCTTCATGTGCGCCATTTCTCCTTCATGTGCGCCATCTCTCCTTCATGTGCACCATTTCTCCTTCATGTGCGCCATTTCTCCTTCATGTGCGCCATTTCTCCTTCATGTGCGCCATTTCTGTGAGAATCTGAAGTGATGATTGTATTAGGAAAGGAGTGGGTATACATAGGTGAGGAGTAGGAGGGAGGGGGGGGGGGGGGGGTTTGGTTGGGAGGTGACCACGATTATTGGTGACCCCAATAAGTTGAGTTGGCCAACTTATTGGGGGTCCAATAATCCTAGCCAAGATTATTGGTGGGTCCAATAATCTTGGTTGGGATTATTGGGGGTTCCAATAATTGGGAGCCCAACCAATTTGGGAACCCAACAAGGTTGGGAACCCAACCCCCAACTTGGGTGTATACACCCTAGTGGGGCGCTTATAAGTTCCTAAGACAATGAAACGATGTAGGCTAATAGAATGAAGGGAGAATAGTCTAACACAACCCCTTAGCCTACAGAGTGCCATAAGTCTTGGGAAGGGGAGGAGAAGCAACCCCTGAATCAGGTAGTCCCCTGTGAGGGAGGGGCAAGACCCAGAAGGCGAAGGAGAGCCGCATGGGGACGACGAGGGAGGGCCTTGGTGAAGATGTCGGCAAGGTTGGCTGAAGAGTCAATCTTGCGCACGGTGAGGTGTCCAGCCTGGACGAGCTCACGAACGAAGTAGTGTCGGAGCGCGATGTGTTTGGAGCGACCATGGAAAACGGCTTCCTTTGTGAGGTGGATAGTACTGGCATTGTCGCACCAGATGGTGGGACAGGGCTGGGGAGCATCCAGCTCAGCGAGGAGGAAGCTGAGCCACCGCGCCTCCTGGGCCGCCATGGTGATGGCGTAGAGCTCTGCTTCGCACGAGGAGAGAGCGATCGAGGAGGAGCGGGTGGAGCGCCAGGAAATGAGGCCACTCCCGAGGGAGAAACCATACCCCTGTGAGCTGCGACGATCGGGCTGAGAATCTGCCCAAGAGGAGTCGCTGTAGCCAGTGAGCTGAGGAGGGGTGGGGCCGCCCAAGGTGAGGACATAGTCCTTGGTGCCTTTGATGTAGCGGAGAACGCGCTTGGCCGCTTGCCAGTGCTCGGGAGTGTGTTTGCCAGCGCCGACAAAGCGCGCCAGGACACTGATAGGGTAGGCGAGGTCGGGGCGAGTGCACATCATGGCGTACATCAGGGACCCGACCAGCTCAGCGTAAGGACTGGTGGAGGAACCGTGGGTGGTTGTCGGCGAGAGCTGGTGGCCGACTTGGAGGGGTGTGGAGACGGGTTTGGCCGTGGCCATCTCGAAGCGTTCAAGGACCTTCTCGAGGTAGAATGCCTGAGAGAGGGAGATGGTCCTGGCCGTACGATCGCGAGAAATCTCCATCCCGAGGTAGTTGCGGACCTCCCCCAGGTCCTTGCAGAGGAGGCGCTTCTGCAGCTCATCCTTGACCTGTTGTAGGTCTGCTTCGTTGTCAGCGGCAAGAAGCATGTCGTCGACGTAGACGAGGATGTAGAAGGGGGAGGGGGAGGTGCGCAGGAAGAGGCAGGAGGAAGCCTGGGAAGGGCGAAAACCAAGAGCACGGAGAGTGCTCGAGAGCTTGGCATGCCATTCCCGAGGAGCTTGCTTGAGGCCGTAGACCGGGCGGCGAAGTTCCCAAACGGTGTTGGGAGGGAAAGGGAGGTGCCAGCCCTCGGGACGCTCCATGAAGATGCGCTCATGGAGTTCACCTTGGAGAAATGCCGTGGTGACATCCATCGAGTGCAGGATCATGCCGCGCCGGCCAACGAAGTCCAAGAACACGCGGACGACAGGGGGAGTGGCGGTCGGCGAGTACGTGTCAAGGAAGTCATGGCCGTACCGCTGCGTAAATCCTTTGGCGCAGTAACGGGCCTTATAGACCGGGTCGTCGCCAGGGAGGAGCTTGACCCGAAATACCCATTTGCCTTTGCCCACGTTGTGGTTGAGAGGGCGGGGTACGTCGATGAAGGTGCCGTTGCGGACAAAGGCCTCGTTCTCTTTGAGGACTGCCTTGCCCCAATGAGGGTGGTCGGGGCATGTCATAGCTTCGTGATAATCTCCCGGCTCGAAGATGATGGGCGCACCGGAGAAGACCAGTACCGGAGCGCCGGTCATGCTGAAGGCGACTGCTTGGGTGTTGGAGAAGAGGTGGAGGCGAAGAAATTCACCATGGGAGTCTTCGATGAGGAGGGGAGAGAAAGGAGGAGGAAGGGAGGGTGGTGTTGCAAGTCTGCTGCGCTGCTGAGGGGGGAGGCTGCGACACTGCGACTCTGCGACTCGGCTGCACGGCTGCTTGACCGAGGCAACTGCTGCGGCGGATCCTGACGCTGCGGGTGCGGCGACCGGGGCAGGCACTGATGCGGCGGCGGGAGCTGCTGCGGCGGGTGCGGAGGTGGAAGCAGAGGGTGCTGGAGCGGGTGCCTTTGCCTGAGGGGAGGGAGGGGCTAAGGGCGGACCAAAGAGGGGATCCATGTAGGCTTGAGCATGAACCCGACCCGACCCGACCCGACCCGACTTTGCCCTACCCGATGTCGGGGTCGGGTCGGGTCGGGTCGGGTCAAGTCGGGTCGGAGTTCAGGAAATGCCAACCCGACCCGAGTTTAGTAGGTCGGGTACTACTTGACCCGATTTCGGGTCGGGTCGGGTCGGGTTAACATAGGGGCAGGGACGGGTAATAAGCTGACCCGACGGGTCGGGTTTTGTCGGTCGGGTCGGGTCGGGTCGGGTCGGGTACCCGAGGGTCGGGTCGACCCTCCGCAAATGTCGACCCGACCCGTCAAAAAGTCGGGTTCGGGTCGGGTTACCCGACCCGACCCGACCCGTTGCTCAAGCCTAGATCCATGGACCGAGTATGAGGGCGGTGGCGAAGGACAAGGGGAGAAGACACCTGGGGGGTGGAGGAGGAGGTGGGGGAGGTGGGGGAGGAGGGGGGGAAGGAGGTGGAGGGGGGGAGGTGGGGAGAAGGGGGAGGATGGAGCGGAAGCGGAGTGAGAGGGAGAGGGGGGGAGTACTGGGTCAAGGATGTCACCTGAGGAAGATGAGGAGGGAGCAGATTCGGGAGGAGGAGGTGCTGGGGGTGGGGGAATAAGAGGGAGAGGGGGGAGGAGGGGGGGTGACAGTGTCAGAGGGGATGAAGGGGCGAGGAGGAATGGTGAGTGGGTCAGGTGAGGCAGGAGAGGTGTAGTACGGGGAGGATTCGTCAAAGATGACGTCCCGACTACGAATGAGGCGACCTGAGGGGGGATGAAGGAAGAGGTAGTCAGGGGAGGAGGTGTTGTGACCAAGGAATACACAGGGTAGACTCTTGGAGGCGAGCTTCCCTGCTGTGCGTGAGCGGTCGGCTGGGTGTATGAGAACATACGCCCTGGAACCCCAGACGCGCAGGGGGGAGACGTCGGGTTTAGTTGACGTCCACAGCTCGGTGGGGGTGGTGGAGGGGAGGAGAGGGTGGGGATACAGGTTAGTGAGGAGGACGGCCTGGAGAAGAGCATAACCCCAGAGGGAAGGCGGGCAGGAGGCGTGAACGAGAAGACACCTGGCGGTCTTTGTAACTTCTCGAACACGAGCTTCTGCCACGCCATTCTGCTGAGGGGAGTGAGGGAGGGTGTAAGTGTGGTGAATACCATGGGTGGAGAAATAGGAAGAGAGATGGTGATTGAGGAATTCACCGCCGCCATCGGAATGTAAGCTGCGAACGGGACGACCGAAGTGGGTGCGCGCCTGCTCGGCCCAGGCGATGATAAAGGCCGATGCTTCGGCCTTCGTGCGAAGGAGGGAGACCGAGGTGTATCGTGAGCGGTCATCGACTAGGACGAGGAGGTAGCGGTGCCCTTGACGGGTGGGGGAGGGGTTGGGGCCCCAGAGATCCATGTGGACAAGATCCAGGAGCTCTGGGGCGCAAGAAGGGTGACTTTTATGAGAAAGCTGCTTGAGCTTGCTCTGGACACAGATGGTGCAAGGTGGGGCGGGGGAGGGAGGGAGTGGGGGGAGAGTGAGGGGAAGGCCATTGAGGAGCCCGGAGGCGACGGCCTTGTGGAGGGTGGCAAAGTTGGGGTGACCTAGGCGGTGGTGGAGGAGGATGGCAGGATGTGTAAGATCACGACAGTGGCACTGAGATGGCGGGGGAGCAGGAGGGGCGGGAGGGGAGGTGGAGGGAGGTTGCGGGGGAAAGAGGGGAGGGGGGAGGGGAGGGATGGTGGAGGCAGTGTGACAGGCTGACGGACGGGGAGTGTGAAGGGTGGACATGCGAGTGCGAGGACACATGGGAACACGGACGATGAAATGGCCCGTGGATGAGTGAAACAAATCGCAGTGGGTGGCGTGGCCGGGGTAGATTGTTGTGACCCCGGCCCGTTGAAGTGCACCTTGGGAGACGAGGTTAGTGCGAAGGGAGGGGACATGGAAGCCAGTTACTGAACCTGAGGGGAAGAGGGGGCAGGGAAGAGTACAGGTATGGCGGGAGGTGACCGAGAAAGTAGAATCGGCTCCAATGATGGTGGAGGGGTTAGGGAGGGGGGTGAGGGCACCAGCATCACGAAGGACTGTGACACTGGCGCCGCTGTCAATGACAAACTCAATGGAAGGAGGAGTGGGGTGAGACACGGAGTACTGGAATGAGGTTTCATTAATAGACTCGGGAGACATTGGAGGAATAGCAGGAGAGGCATGGCTAACATGGTTGATGAAGCCAGGTGAGGGAAATGGGGTAAAGCCAGGAGGTCCGGTGGGGGCCTGCGCAGGAGGAGCAGGAGCAGACAGGCCAGAGCTCCAGGCGGAGGGAGGGGAGGGCTGCTGCTGAGACTGCTGGTGCTGCTGAGACTGTTGCAGCTGCTGGAGGAGCTGCTGCAGGAGCTGCTGTGGCTGCTGCTGGGACTGCTGCGGCTGCTGGTTCTGCTGCGGCTGCTGAGTCTGCTGCGGCTGTGGGGACGGAAGGAGGGGCGTGACCTGCTGGAGGATCTGTGGAGGGAGGTGCTGTGCGAGGATGTGGTGGAGAGAGGTAGAGGAGGGCTGATAGGCGGGGAGGGTACGAACATCAAAGGGAGTGGGAGGTGGAGTGATAGCGGACCAGCGAGGGGGCGTGCCCGTGTTGCCTCGATCAAGCCACTCATCAGTGAGGGCCGTGAAACATGTGGTGGTGGCATGGGTGGTTTGGAGGCAGCGCTTACCCTTGTTGGGGCCGTTGCGGATGAGATACTGACACGGGGAGAAGCCGCCGGTGCTGTTGGAACCACTGCTACCCCCGCGTCCTCCACTGCGCCCCCCGCCACGTCCACCACCCGATCGTCCCGCCGAAGTACCGCCACGGCCAGCACCACGTCCTCCTTTTGCTTGGGCAGCATGAGCCGTTGGAGGAGACTGGCGGAGAAGCTCCGCTTCAGTTTTCAGAATCCATGCGGCTACATAGGCGGAGTCGGGTGGGAAGCTGGCGTGGACCTCATTGAACGCCACGCGACGGGCCTCATACAAGGGGGTGAGGCCGTCGAGGAGGCGGCAAACGATGAGGGAGTCGGGAAGGGGAGAGCGACGATCGGCAAGGCGTTTGGCAGTGGTGAGGAGGCGGCGCGTGAAGGAGAGGGCGTTGGGGCAGGAGTCAAGGTTGATGTCGAGGAAGGCGCGGTGGAGCGCTAGGAGAGAGTTGGTGTCCTGGAGGTCATAGGTGGCACATAGCTCTTTCCAGAACTCGGGAGCGGAGGAGGGGGTAATTTCGCGTTTGAGGGAGGAAGGAACGCATGCAGACAGGATAGCGAGACATCTGCGGTTGGCAACGTTCCAGGCAGAGTGGCGACGACGGTACTCACGAAAGTCGTTAGCATACTTAGCCGTGGCGTCCTTGTGCTGTTGGAGGAGTGTGTTGGCGGCGTCGTGCGCAGCTTGCTCTGCGTCATACGCGTGATGGAGGAGAGTGTACTCCGCAAAGTCCTTGTCATATTGGTGTTGCACGCGAGCCCAGCGATCAGGGTCGTCGGTGTAGACCAGTGGAGAGGGCTTGGTGGGGGCCGGTCCCGAGGGGGCCGGGGGTGGGGCGGGAGGTGCAGGGGAGACATCAGCGGGACATTCTGGGGGCTGCCCTGCGTCATTGCCAAGGAGAATGTCAAGGAGGCAGTAGTCGTTGATGATAGCGGATCCGAGGACATTGGTAAGGCTCTGGGCAAAGGTAGCCCAGTTGACAGGGACGGCGTCGTCGATGAGCTCGAGGACGTCGATGGTGGAGATGTCGACGGCGAGTGTTTCGGTGGTCATGGTGCGATTGTGGATGCTGCTGCTGTTGCTGCTGGGGATGAGTGGAGAGGGGGAAGGAGGAGGGAGGGGAGGGGGGGGAAATACGGCTGCTGCTGCTGATGGTGCGGCTGCTGGAGATGAGGCGACTGCTGCAGCTGGTGGGGGGAGGAAGGGGAGTAGGGGGAGGTGGAGGGGGGAGATGTGGCTGCTGCGGCTGATGAAGGGAGTGGGGAGGAGGTGAAGGCCGGTGGAGGGTGCGGTTGCGGTTGCTGCGTTTGATTGAGGAAGGATGCGGCTGCTGCTGTTCGTGGGGAAGGAGGAGAGGAGGGGAGGGGAGGGGGGGGGGGGGGGGGGGGGGGGGAGAGAGGGAGGGGAGGAGGGGAGGGAGGAAGGGGGGGGGGAGGAAGAAGACGGGTGCGCGGAGCGCAGCTCTTAAGCTGCGCGACGCGAAGCCTTCTTCGGGCGCCGATGCGAAAGGCGACGGCCGGCGCAGATGGTGAGGACCGGACGCCGAAATGCAGACAAGCGCCGCGCCTAAATGCGGCCGGGCGCCGCGCCGAAATGCGGCCGAGCGCCGCGCCGAAATGCGGCCGGGCGCCGCGCCGAAATGCGGCCGAGCGCCGCGCCGAAATGCGGCCGAGCGCCGCGCCGAAATGCGGCCGAGCGCCGCGCCGAAATGCGGCCGAGCGCCGCGCCGAAATGCGGCCGAGCGCCGCGCCGAAATGCGACCGAGCGCCGCGCCGAAATGCGGCAGGAGCGCCGGGTCGAAATGCGGCAGGAGCGCCGCGCCGAAATGCGGCCGAGCGTCGCGTCGAAATGCGGCCGAGCGCCGCGTCGAAATGCGGCAGGAGCGTCGCGCGAAAATGCAGCGCTTAAGGGCGCGAGGAGAGGCGCTTAAGGGGGCGGGGAGGGGCGCTTGTGGGCGCGGGGAGGGGCCCTTATGGGCGCGGGGAGGGGCGCTTATGGGCGCGGGGAGGGGCGCGTTGGGCGCGAGGTGGCTAGGGATCGAACGACGGAGAGGCGTGAGCCATAAGCTCTGAAACCATGTGAGAATCTGAAGTGATGATTGTATTAGGAAAGGAGTGGGTATACATAGGTGAGGAGTAGGAGGGAGGGGGGGGGGGGGGTTTGGTTGGGAGGTGACCACGATTATTGGTGACCCCAATAAGTTGAGTTGGCCAACTTATTGGGGGTCCAATAATCCTAGCCAAGATTATTGGTGGGTCCAATAATCTTGGTTGGGATTATTGGGGGTTCCAATAATTGGGAGCCCAACCAATTTGGGAACCCAACAAGGTTGGGAACCCAACCCCCAACTTGGGTGTATACACCCTAGTGGGGTGCTTATAAGTTCCTAAGACAATGAAACGATGTAGGCTAATAGAATGAAGGGAGAATAGTCTAACATTTTCTCCTTCATGTGCGCCATTTCTCCTTCATGTGCGCCATCTCTCCTTCATGTGCGCCATTTCTCCTTCATGTGCGCCATTTCTCCTTCATGTGCGCCATTTCTCCTTCATGTGCGCCATTTCTCCTTCATGCGCGCCATTTCTCCTTCATGTGCGCCATTTCTCCTTCATGTGCGCCATTTCTCCTTCATGTGCGCCATCTCTCCTTCATGTGCGCCATTTCTCCTTCATGTGCGCCATTTCTCCTTCATGTGCGCCATTTCTCCTTCATGTGCGGCCTTTCCCCTTCATGTGCGTCATCTCCCCTTCCTGTTCACCCTTTCCCCTTCCACCCTTTCCCTTGCCGTGCACCCCTTCCCCTTCGTGTCCCCCGCACCGTCACCAGCCCAGATTCGATGTGCGCACAGACTTACCCGGCATCAGAATAGATTCCCAGCTTGAGCCCCTTGCTCTGCACATAGTCCGCAAGTGCCTTTCCGCTTCCTATGTCTGCCCCTTTCACCAGCCTAAGCCCGCCTGCATGCACTCCCCCTTACCCTGCATCAGAGTAGATCCCCAGCTTGAGCCCCTTGCTGTGCACATAGTCCGCAATCGCCTTGATTCCCGAAGGAAACCAGACAGGAGAAGGTACCAGGCGACCCTGAACAACCCAATGGCAGTGGAAAATATGAAAGATAGGTAACGATGAATAGAATAGAAATTCTGGAGAAACCCTTAGGTTGGAGTATTGGATGGAAGCCTTAGAGACACAAGCTGCTAACGTAGCTGACATGCTGCTGCACGGTGCTATCGCAGCGATGCCTTGGCTTGGCAGGCGATTGCTGCCTTGTTATTTACATCCAAATGCTCCACTGATTGTTCACAGTTTCAAACAGGAAATCTATTTTTGAGGCGCCTCAAAAACAGTTTCAAACGGGAAATTCAGGAAGTGGTGTAACAGTCTTGAAGGCTTGCAATGAAGCCACTCTTCTGATGGCTAAACAGCAACACAGTTGCAAAATAGTATGCCTCGTTATAGCCTGCACTTGAGATTCGGTACAACCTGATGTTCATGTTTCAAACACCCACCTCTGAATCTCGGGAGTCAGCCTGCCAGCAATCATCTGCAAGGGAGGTGAAAAAAAAGCTTAGTCAGAAGAGGCGAAACCTTATGTATTAGGAAGCCAAACAAGAAAATGGAAAGCGTGGATGCCCTTCAGTCCCGATATAAGGTGTCTCCGTCCTGATTTATGGTGTGTCGAAACGCGGCTGGAGAAGCAAGCACGCCACTGCTACAGCCCTAGCTATTTCGCTTCACTCTGACGAATTCAGTGTGAAAAGAGAAAGATGGAAAAGGTTGGAAGTACGTCACCTATGTTGACATAGACGTATCCAAGAGCTACTAGTCCTGATGACACGAGCTTGTCCGCTGCAAGTAGGAAGGAGAGCATCACGCGAGTACCACGTGGTGGGGAGCGATGGAGAGGGATTGCTGAAATGGAAGGACCTGTTTCACTGCAGGATGAACGGTGATGAGGTGAACGTGAATTTGTGGCAAGTTTCTTTTCCCAAACACTCTTGAAGCCAAAAGCTGAAACAGAAATAGAGAAATAACAGTTTGAGTCTGCTTTGACTCACGAGTCACACACCAGGAACGGTGACAGTCTTTACCTGCGGTTTTCACAATGCCTTCAGTAATCCGGCATTGGAAGTGATTCCAGCTGTTCCATCTGCCACATTGTACCGCATCGTGCCACATCGGACATGACATTTTAGTCACTGACAGAGAATTACCGAGGTATACTTGACTTAGGAAGCGAGCATCATAATGAATACTAGGTTACGGAGTTGCGAACGCTTGAGATATTTATGAACAGAGGCTAGCTACAGCCCGTTCCGTCGGGGTGTTATTATCGAGTAACTTGAGCTAATAGTGTTACCCGAGCTGAGGAGTCTGTGCAATCTTTCGCGCTCGATGCACCGTTCCAGAAAGGTCGATTTTCTCTTTCCTTCCAAGGTTCAGAATAGTTGGAACGGATGTCTCTCCGCTTACAGCCGAGGATTGATGGAAGATAATAGCCAGACAGAAGCACACAGATAAGAACGAGAATTCCATTCCTCTGTAGCTCATTGCAATAAGAATAAGAACCTAGAATGCGTCTCCAACGAAAACGGCAGGAGCGAGTGCTCAGTATTAACTTATTACTGGGAGCTTGAAACCGAGTAACTGGATCAAATGAGTGACCTGAGAACGGCGTCGTCTCGGCTCGGAATGAGTCACTTGCTGCGTCAAATTCAAGGTCGTACAGGCCTCCAGGCTACTCTGATTGTACTGTAATCCCTATACTGTATGGACATTCCTAGAGATGGTCAAATCAGCTGACAGGCAGTCGCCTGACATGAGCGGGGGAGCTCTGCTGGCTGTCCCCAGCAGTCTTTTCATCACGCCTCGATTTGGCTGGGGTGGAGTGGAACAGAATTCCCTCGAGGGAGATTCTCGAGAGGGCAAGTGAGGTGGATGGATGATCCTTACGGTTTGGAAGGATACTGTACCCTTGGGAATGCCGTAAGGCTGATAACAGTACGGTTCGACGCCGTCGATCTGTCGCAATCGACGGACATCTTGAACGTAACAAATTCTTGTTTTGTTGTAGTGGTGGGGTGGGGGTGAGGTAAAGAGGAGGGATGCCTTGGCTTGGGCTGATCAGCCGACACCGAGTGATAGTTTGGGACGTATTTCTGAAGTAAATATCCGGTAACCCAGGCTCACCAGGTATAGTTGGGAGGACTAATGCAACCCAAAGAACAAAATACACGGCCCACCACCCTGCCCATGAGTCCTGTTCCCGGTGAAAGTTCCTCATGAGTCGCACCGAATGTGATTCCAGAAATTGTTATGCAGAAGAGAGTCGCACTACGAACGCAAATGAAACGCTTTTGACGGATACTGAATCGATGAGATTGCGCCCCACTCCAGCCCTATGTGATGAGGTGTACCATTTAGTCACTGACGGAAGCATCACGTCACCATACACGAATCCGACGCCACCGGATTCCTGAATCCCAACAGAAAGTTCCCCTTTAGGAGACCAATCCGATAATCTCCGGGACACGTAGAGAACAGTTCTCTTAACCTATAGTAGGGTTTCTCCTCCACAGCATTCAGTTCATCATAACCTTTGAATTGTACAAACTCGTGATATCAGTACAAATGTAACAACTTCAATGTTTACCTAGAAGCACATACTCAACTAAGTGGCGTGGCGTCTATTGACGACACCTTTACAATGCAAGTGCCATGCCATGCCATGCCAGCCTAGTGGCGCCATGTGCCATGGCAATTTACTGATTCACACAACGCAGAAGGAAGGCTGCCTTTTTTGTAGGCAGTAAAAACACGCCACCAATATACCAGGTAATGTACATTGTATACATAGCCAAGATACATAGCCAGGCTGCGTTTTTTACTTATTGCAAGAGCCATTGTTTCCTAATTATATTCAGTTGGGCTAGGCATCTGCAACGGGCCAGATCACAAACAATCGCACACCATGGCTCGCAACACGAGCGCGCAGTTTACCCGAGATGGCCGAATCCATGGTGGCATTCTGCAGCAGCATTGGAGAAGCACAACGAAGTGGAGGCATATGAAAACAGAGTTTGTGCTGTTTGTGTGTGCGCGTGCATGCATGCGTGTGAGCGCGTGTGTGTAAGTGTGTGTGTGTGTACGAGCGAGTAAGTGTGTGTGGGTATGTGTGTGTGTGAGAGTGAGCGTGTGTGTGAGAGGGAGTGTGTGTATACATGCATATATGTGTGTGCATAAACGTGCATGCCTTTGGGAAGAGGGGGGGAAGGTGGGGGAGTGAGGGGGAGAAAAAGAAGACACATACTATGTGAACCCCCGTACCTTCCACAAGTCCCGTGCATACATCCGCTGCACGAGATTCAGGCCAATTGCTTTCCAGCAAGCTTTCACATTTTGGCACTTTTCAGATGTTCACATTTTTCGAGCTAAAAAGTTAAACCAAACCATGGGTTCACCCGTACCTTCCAGAGGTCCCGTGCATCCACTGCACCGGATTGAGGCCAATTCCTGTCCAGCTGGCAGCTAGATCTTAGCTCCTTCGCAAGAATGGGTTAACGAGAACATGGGTTCACCCATACCTTCCAGAGGTCGCGTGCATGCATCGGCTGCACCGGATTGAGGCCAATTGCTTCCCAGCTGGCAGTCACATTCTTGCTCCTCTGACTACGGTTCACCAACGCCACTACTTGCCGACCCTCAGACAGAGGTCCGGACCAAACCTGCAGATTCGAGAGCAGGCGGTTTGAGGGAGGGAGGGGTTATAAGAGAACACATTTTAGCTTTGAGGCATGTGAAGCCACGCTGGAGGAAGCTTAGAGGCTGCAAGATGAGTGAAATCATTGTGCCCCACAAAGTTCGCGAGAGTTCATTTCGTTCTGAGGCATCTGAAACAACACAACTACTAAAGCCAAGAGAAGAACAGAGACAAACGCTTCCTGCATGGGATGGGAGTGCCCTTAAACCCTGGCCAGGTCCCAAAATACTCAACCCGAGTCAACAGGAGGTATGTGGGTTGGGCACGTGCAAAAAGATTCTCAACTATTGGGTTGTACTTCGCAAGATTTTTCGTCGCCACATTAGGCATTTACTGTATCAGGGGCTTTGGAAAAGGCAAGGACGATACGATCTGACGGCTGGGACGCAAGGAAACAAGGACTCCGAAACAAGGATATGGAAACGGCTGGCACGTTCCGTTATAAGGACGCGGGGAAACAAGGATCTGGAAATCCAACCACTCCAAACTCTAAAGCGAGGGTCGGGAAATTGTTTGGGGTAACAAAAACTAGACGCGCCTAGAGCCAAACTGGGTATAGCTTGATCCTATCATGTAATTTGGGACCTGGGCTTTAAGGTAAGTCCATGTTGCATCATAAGTTAATCGTGACAGTTTTTTTTCACATGTGATAGGATAGGGTCTTTTGGTTCGTAATAGTGATTGTGATATGGTAGTTTGATCGTCAGTTGGTTTACCTCGCATCATATGCAGATTAAAACGTGCTAGGGTCCAACAGACCACTTACCAACACAAGAAGTCACCTCCCCCCACAAGAAGTTCATCTAATTGCGCTCACCTCCAGGAGGGAGTCTTGAGACTTGACCTCACAAGAAGTTAATCTATTTGACCTCACTCACCTCCAGGAGGGAGTTGTTAGAGAGATGCACCTTTCTCGCCTGCACTCCCAGCGGGTCTGCACCAATCACAGAAGGACACGTGTGAGAGGGGACAAGTGGGTCTCTGCACCATTAACAGAACGTGTGAGAGGGGACATGTGTGTCTGCAATATTTACAGAATGCGTGAGCAGGGACAAGTGGGTCTGCACCAATCACAAAAGGACACGTGTGAGAGGGGACAAGTGGGTCTGCACCGATCACAGAAGGGCACGTGTGAGCTGGGACTCACGCAGGTGGAGGAACCAGCAGATGACATAGGTGAGCTAAGACACAGATGACTAGGTTTGCACGAGCTACACTAACACAATGGAAGCATAGCAGTCTAGTTTTGAGGCACCTCAAAACTAGACTTCCAGCTTCCACAAATTGAGGATCTACAACAACGGCATGTGCACCTTTACACAGGTGACTGGTTTAGCATGAGCACCTTTACACAACAACGGCACGTGCACGCTACAGCGGGATACGTATGCAGCAGCATGAGATGATACACACCGTGCTTGAGATGATACACACCTTGCATGAGATGATACACACCTTGCATGAGATGATACACACCTTGCATGAGATGATACACACCTTGCATGAGATGATACACACCTTGCATGAGATGATACACACCTTGCATGAGATGATACACACCTTGCATGAGATGATACACACCTTGCATGAGATGATACACACCTTGCATGAGATGATACACACCTTGCATGAGATGAGACACACCTTGCATGAGATGATACACACCTTGCATGAGATGATACACACCTTGCATGAGATGATACACACCTTGCATGAGATGATACACACCTTACAAAGATGATACAAACCTTGCATGAGATGATACACACCTTGCATGAGATGATACACACCTTGCATGCGATGATACACCACCTTGCATGAGATGATACACACCTTGCATGAGATGATACACACCTTGCATGAGATGATACAAACCTTGCATGAGATGATACACACCGTGCATGAGATGATACACACCTTGCATGAGATGATACACACCTTGCATGAGATGATACACACCTTGCATGAGATGATACACACCTTGCATGAGATGATACAAACCTTGCATGAGATGATACACACCTTGCATGAGATGATACACACCTTGCATGAGATGATACACACCTTGCATGAGATGAAACACACCGTGCATGAGATGATACACACCTTGCATGAGATGATACACACCGTGCATGAGATGAAACACACCGTGCATGAGATGATACACACGTTGCATGAGATGATACACACCTTGCATGAGATGATACACCCTTGCATGAGAACGTACCCTGGTTAACAGCAACGACCTCTTCGTTGCTCAGAATGCTCATTGTCTCATCCGATGCCGCAGAGAGGTCACAGCCAATCAGGAGAGGCGCCTGGTGGGAGGTGGGGGGAGGGTGGGCGCGTTTGAACCTGCTGAGGAGAAAATAGCCAGCTGGGAAAAACACCGGGCGAAAATAGCCACCGTGTGAAAATAGCCAGCCAAATCTTCAATCAGATGCTCATTGTCTCCGCCGATGCGGCGGAGAGACCATAGCCTATGAGGAGATGTTTTGTTTTTGAGAATTCTAGAAAACAAAACATATCACAGCCTAGGAGGAGAGGCGCCTGGTGGGAGGTGAGGAAAGGGTGCAGAGAGGGGTGGGAGATGGACTGAGCTGCTTTGAATAGACGGAAAAAGCTGATTTGCCTGTGACTTTCACAATGATGAAATTCATGTTGCTCTATGCTCACCTCATGGCGAAGGGCGCTATGCTCACCTCATGGTGAAGGGCACTATGCTCACCTTTCCTTATGCATGTATGAACCCATGTCCACCTCCATGCACCCAGGCGTATCATCATACACCCATGCCCACCTCCATGCACCCATGCACACCTCATGCACCCATGCCTACCTGCAAGCACCCATCCCACCTTCATGATGGCCCAGAGGCTGAAGTGCACGCGGTACTCCGACTCTCTCATGCCGCCATTCCCCACCTGCAGCATGTCGGGGTCTGCGAGGGGGGGTCAAGTATGGAGAGGGGAATGTTTGGGGTGTGGGCGGAGGAGAGTGAGGAACAGTTGCGCTTGAGCGCCTTAAGAAGAGCACACGGTACTCCGATGGGATAGGGGGAGTGAGAGTGTCACCACCCCACCTGCGGCATAGATTCAAGAGTGGGGAAAAAACTGGCAGCGCTCCTTACTTGCAGTACATTGGAACAGAGAGACAGGAGGAACAGAGGGAACTGATTGATTACACGAGACAGATTTCTGAGTACTTGTTTGATGCACACCCCGTGGGTGATTTTTGAGTCAATAATCACCTGACTCAAAGATTACATGAGTCAGATTACTGAGTGCTTGTTTGGTGCACACCCACCCCGTGTGTTTCCACCTCGTGTGTTTGGCACCGCTCACCATTCCACCCGCCCGGCTTGGCGTATTTGGCCCACTTGTTGTTGGCGTCGGCGATTCCAATCATGCTGCATGTGTACCATGTGCCATGTGCCATGTGCCACGTGCCATGTGCCACGTGCAATGTGCATGCATACAGGCAGGGGCGCGAAGTGCATGCACACAGGGGGGAAGGAGGTGGCAGTCAGGGTTACAGAGGGGGACAGAGAGACAAAACGGTACTAGTGAGTTTTGAGACATATAACCTCATAGACGTCCTTCCACACGTCCCCTTCCTCTCCCATCTTCCGCAGTCTCTCCGGCGCCCTCTTTCTTCCCTTCACTACCGTCCCTTCCCTTCCCTCCTGCACTCTCCTTCCACCTCATCTCATCCCTTGCCATCCCTTCTCCATTCCTATCACCATCACCTCCCATCACCTCCCATCACCTCCCATCACCTCCCATCACCTCCCATCACCTCCATACCTCCCATCACCTCCCATCACCTCCCATCGCCCTCTCCCCAACCCTCCCAGACCTCCCTCCTTCACCAATCCCCTTCTCCCTCCCTCCTTCCCTCATGCATCCTCTCCTTCCTCCACGTGTCATTGATCATATACCTCACGTGCTCCTCCATCATCCACGTGTCCCTCACGTGACCCTCCCTCCTCACCTCCTCCGCGTGACGCTTCTCACCTCTTCCACGTGTCCCTCCTCACCTCCTCCACGTGTCCTCAATGTCAAGGGTGGTGCGCCATGTGTCAGCCACGCCATACGCCCACGTGGCAGGGGCGCTCAGTCCCCTGCAGGCAGCAGCACACGTGGCAGATGGAGGCAGCCACGTGGATTGAAATAATTGGATTATGCGTCCCCGGTGGCTCTCGGCTCACCATTCATGGGGATTTAATGGCCTGCTGTCCCTGTAGGAATAGAAACTGGCACAGCCAGCACGGGAGGACGTGAATGCAGCAGTCAACTAACCATCGCATATGGTGCAATTTAAGACAGACTTAATCCCCTTACCTCACCAGTAGCACATGCAGCAGCATGGCTCACCATTCTCAGTAGGTGCTTGCTCAGCACCGGCATGGCAGCATGCATGCAGCAGAGCAACTGACAGATCCACCATTCCAGTTTGGAGCCTCTCAGCTCACCATTCAGCACGTGGGAAGGAGTCTATTTATGACGCGCCTCATTAACAGTTTAGACCCTATTTTTGAGGCGCCTCAAAAACAGTTTGGACCCTCTCAGCTCACAATTTAGCACATGGGGGGGGGAAGATGTGTTCTGACCCCCCCCAGGGGCCTCTCCTTCCAGGTGATGGCATCGCAAGCGAGCATGGCAGCAGGAATGCAGCAGTGAACTCACCACCTGACTGTGAATCCTGATTGTGAATCCTCCGTACCCACCACCTGATTCTAATCCGCCGGACTCGCCAGTCGCACATGGAGAAGAAGATATCCTTCCCTGTGGCGTCCAGTGCACTCTGCATGGCCTTGTGTGACTCGAGTATAGCAGCACGGTAGCATGCAGGCATGGATGCAGCAATGCAACTCACCATTCGCACATGGAGAAGAAGATGCCCCTCCCAGTGGCGTCCAGTGCATTGCGCATGGCCGTGTACCTGATGGTTGATGGTTGATGGCATTCAGTAATATGGGAGGCATGGCATGGCATGGCATGGGAAGCAGGCAGGTAAGGCATGAATTGGTAACATTCCAAACCATTAGCTACCACTATGGCATGGTTTGAACCAGATTAAAACAGAACCCGAGGGATAGCAAGGATAAGCGCTCATAAATGTTGGGTGACGGAGAGGCACATCGGCAGCAGGAATGCGCAATGCCGTTTGAACCAGATTGAACAAAAGCTGAGAAATAGCTGAGATAAGCGCTTATAAATGAAAAATAGCAGAGATAAGCGCCTATAAATGCTGGGTAGCGGAGCGGCAACGAGGTGACTTTTGATTCGGACTCAAAAGTGAGATCGTTTGAGCCAGCTTGAGACACCAAGTTGTGGGATCGCAGCGATAAGCATGCACGAATGAATGCTGGGTGGCAGGAGGCTTTTCATAATTCTCAAAAAACACCCTGCAAAGACGATTTTTGAGGCGCCTAAAAAATCTTTTCATAATTCTCAAAAACACCCTGCAAAGACGATTTTTGAGGCGCCTCAAAAATCTTTTCATAATTCTCAAAAACACCCTGCAAAGACGATTTTTGAGGCGCCTCAAAAATCTTTTCATAATTCTCAAAAATACCCTGCAAAGACGATTTTTGAGGCGCCTCAAAAATCTTTTCATAATTCTCAAAAACACCCTGCAAAGATACGCCTGCATGAATGCTGGGTAACGGAGAGGCAACGGCAGCAGGAGGACAAACTTACCGCTTCTGGCTTGGACTCCCATCGTTAATACAGTTGTCATACTTGAGGTAGTCAACTCCCTGCCACATATAATAAAAGCATATCAGTGCAGGGCGTGAGCAGAGGGCGTGAGCAGAGGGTGTGAGACGGGGCGTGAGCACGGGAGGTGAGCACGGGGTGTGCGCACGGGGTGTGCGCACCCCCATTCTCTGATGCATGCATGCATGGCGCACGGAACAGTCATTGGGCGGAAGTGATCTCGCCAAGGATTCAGCAAAAGCGTAAGGAAGTAGACCTACTATAATTACCTATTATGTAGAATTTACCCATTATGTAGCATTTACCCATTATGTTGAAAACATGACCCATTATGTAGAAATTATTACCCATAACGTAGAAACAATTACCCGTTGTGTAGAAAATATTACCCATTATAATTACCCATTCAGCGAAAGTGGATGCATCCGTAGCCTCATGCCCAAGTGAGCCTGGCTTGCCTGCGCACGTACGAAACCTGATGGGCGTGGAGTGTAGATTTATAACTTAAAAGGAAGGCTCTGATGGAGTGGCTAAATAGGTCGATTTTGAGACGTCAGAAACTAACCTACTTACTTAACCTCGGAGGAACTTAGAACTTAGAGTGGCGTGGAGGTAGAACTTAGAACGAAGGCCCTGATGGAGAGAACGAAAACGGACTGAGCATACGAGCGTATGACGAGCACAAAACCTGGTCAACTTAGCGGGCATCTAGTTTTGAGGCGCCTCAAAACTTAGCGGGCATCGATATGCACACACTGTCACATCGGATCGGAGCAGTTACCCGCTGCAGATAGACCTTACCCAGCATCGGAGTAGATCTTTGGCTCCCAGCATGAGCCCCTTGCTGTGCACTTTACCCTCAAGTCCCTTCCTTTCCGTATCACCAACCGTGCGCAGCGCAGCACTATACGCTGTCTTACCCAGCATCGGAGTAGATCCCCAGCTTGAGCCCCCTGCTGTGCACATAGTCCGCAAGCGCCTTGATTCCGAAGGGAAGGAGTCGGGCGAAGGCACCAGGCGACCCTGATCACAGCAGGCAGCGAAGGAGAAGAGAATGTGATGATGGTCCGGAGGTATGGGATGCACGGGATGTATGGGATGCGTGGGATGTGTCAGATGTGTGGGTGGGAATGTGTGAGATGCATGGGATGTATGGGAGGTGTGAGTGGTATGGGATGTGTGGAATGCCATGGGATGCGTGGGATGTGTGGGATGCATGGGATGCATGGGATGCATGGGATGGGATGAATGAGAGGCAACGATGGGGGAAAAGCATTCACCCACCTCAGAGTCTCGGGAGTCGGCCTGCCAGCAATCATCTGCAGAAGGACCAACTCAACACGTCAGCAACAAGTCAGTCAGCACAGCCCCCGCAGCCACAGCCCAGTCAGCCACGCCCCAGCCATAAAAGGACTGGCAAATTTGCGATAAAATGACTATATTCGCTCATGGATGCTGGGACGCGCATATCAAGCACCACAACCACAGTATCTACCACGGTATCGTCTCACCGATGTTGACATAGATGTATCCAAGGGCTGCGAGTCCCGAGGATACGAGCTTGTCCGCTGTAAGGGAGCGACAGGGAGTTATGGATGCAGAGGCACACACAGCACACTTTAGAAGACAACAGGGCACAGCAATACACAGCAATGCACTGCACACAGCAATACACAGTAATACACAGCAATACACAGCAATACACAGCAATGCACAGCAATGCACAGCAATGCACAGCAATGCACAGCAATGCACAGCACACAGCAGCACACAGCAGCACGGGATGATTGGTGAATCCTGCGAGTGAGCGAGAGCTGCAGGTCCCGAGGATTCGCGCGAGACGAGATTGGATTATGGGAGCAGTGGCACATCGTTACAATGTCACACGATACAAGCACGAGGGGAGTCGGTTGCACTACCTTGGGTTCGCACAATGTCTTCGGTGACGTTGCATTGGAAATGGTTCCAGCTGTTCCATCTGCCACGTTACACGCCACGTCACACGCCACGTCACACGCCACGCACACAGTCACATCACATTGCAAGAACGGACGGGAACTACCAAAGCAATAGTAAGCGAAGGAATAGGAGGGGAACTTGGTCGCCATCGTCTTCGCCAGAGGTGTTACCCGAGGGGCGGAGTTCGCGAGATATCTCGCGCTCGACCATGCACCGCGACGGTCTCGGCGGAAACTTCGCTCTTGCTTTCTCCTCCAGCGCTCCGAGCAGCAGAAGCTTGAAGGGGCGAGAAGTGCGAGAGAGTGACAGAAGCACGCAGCTACTAATGGTGGGAAACCGCTCCGTGGTCTCGTCGACATTGCGTCGCGACTAGCCGAGTCGATCGAACAAAACGACGAAGGGAGCAGCGAGTGCTTATGCGATCATGAATGAACAAAGCGAATGGGCGAAAACTATAATTTTGAGGCGCCTAAAAAATAGACTCCTCACTCATGCGATCATGAATGAACAACGCGAATGGGCGAAAACTATATTGTAGGACTAGGAACGGGCTGGGACGGCTATGCCTCGCAACGAGCTGGTCGCTATCCGGACACGGCAGCGATAGCGACGGGGTCATTGCGAGGCATCCTACAATGAGCTGATCGCTACTATCTTCGCTACGTCTCGCAAGGGATCGTTCGTTATCGTCGCTATCATCGCTATCATCGCTATCATTGCGAGTCGAGGCTGAGCTTGTGCGCTTCCAAAATCCCTATGCTCGACATGCCAGACGCTGCTAAATCACTGCCCGTGGTCTGTGATGATGTCAACATTATTCGACATTCAACGCTCGACATTCCTGTTGACTGGTGGCTGACTGTCTTATAATGCTATCAATCTTGCTGACAGGCCGACTGTCTGTCTGTCAAATCCTTCTGACAGCGACTCTGATCGGTAAGTTCGACTTGACAGTGACTCAGCTGCAGGGTAGAGTGTCTGCTCTGCTCTGCAGCCAAGTAAGGCTTGTGAGCAAGAAAGTGAGGGCGTGGTGCATAGAGTTGCGCGCGGTGCAAAGAGTTGTGCAACCCGCTTGAGTTCTTAAAGCCGGATCGGTTACAACTTCGCGAAAATTTCGACGGCTCCTCGCAAGTCTCTTTACCAGAAAAAATCATCCCAAAACCGCAACTAGTTGCGCAATTTTGAAAGCGCAGCTCTAGGCACCAAGCTGGCTCTAGACAATTGCTTTCGGGGATAGACGGACTTCTTCAGGACGGATTCCGTGTTACAATTCAGAGGCAGTACATTCAGTCTTTTGGGATTCACTTCTCTCCACGTGTAATGCAGACAGCAATGGCATTTGAAATGAAACGAGACTTTATTTCGTTCCGAAAACGAGTCAGTAGAATGATCCGCATATTATAGACAGCCCATGCGTCATCATTTACAAACGGGCTGAAACACTTACCTACAGAACTATGGACAGGCAGACAATTATCGTTCTGACGATCCACTTTATATCGTGTACACATGAACGAGCACATATTTCGTGGTTCACTCGTGCCATCAGCATTTGAAGCTACTTTGAGCCCAGCCCAAAAAGTTTTAGCTTGCTAGCACGCTCGATAACAGCAATCACCCAAACGAAAGTGTGTGAAGCCACGGAATCGGCCCAGCAGCCATGGCGTCCGTTCCTCACTCGCATCTCCGATCGTCCTTCAGCACGCGCCACTATCACTCACCTCACCTTCCCACAAGCACTAAGTCCGCCTTTTTAGGGGGGGCGTTAGAACGATCACGACAGCCATGCGGTGTTCGTGCAATCCCAGCCGTAGGATCCAATTCCCATCAGCAGATCGAACGGCGAATCGGCATTTGGGCAATCGGCGGGCCGCCGGGAATGGGTGCATTCCCGCGGCCACAGCAAGGCGGGAACGTGCTCAAGGTACTTCACAGTTTGCGTTAGCTCTGATTAGTAATCATTTCCCGTTAGCTCTGATTAGGCGTCTCAAAATCGACGATGCTCTCAAACCCGGTCTGCATTGAGCACTGAACTTCTCTCCTTCGTCTCCCCCCTCCAACAGTTGGTGGTGCAAGGCCCTATATGGCTCCCCACTAGGCACCACTATCCTCTCCGCGCTCTCCTCTGCTCGCGGGCTGCAGCTGGCTGCTGTAAACGCATGCCCTTCCCTTCCCTTCCCCTCCCTCCCCCTCCCCCCCCCTCCCCTCCGTCCTTCAGCTAGTTGTGAACGGCCCGTGGCCTCGCCTCTGGGCGCTACCATCCTCTCCACCCTCTCCTCTGCTCGCGGGCTGCAGCTGGCTGCTGTGGTGGACGGCAATCCGAGGCCAACGGGAGAGATGCTGGGGAGGTGAGAGGGGTGAGGGAGGGGTGGGGTGGGGTGGGTGGGATGGGGGGGAAGTTTAGGCATAGAGGACAAGGGAGACGTGGGGAAGGTGACGGCTAGCAATGCTCTCTTCAGCTGGCTGCTGTGGGTGGACGGCAATCCCGAGGCAACAGTAGGGAGGGGAGGCTGAGTAATTGCAGTATGGGCGTATATGGAGTATGATAAGCCAGCGTATATACGCAACACGAGCTGACTTTTGAGTCGACTCAAAAGCAACAGGAGGGAGGGAGGCTGAGTAATGGCAGTATGGGCGGTATGGAGTATGATAAGCCAGCGTATATACGCAACACGCTCGGTTTGGGACCCTGTATACGCTATGTAAACGCTAGTCAGGGCAGGCAAAACATTTTCCGGGCAGTGAAAAATTTGGAAAAGGGGGAAGGGGGGAAGAGGTGGATGTTGAGCAAACGGTTCAATTGCAACTTCAACCAAAAAACATAGTCTAAGAAGCATAATAAATAAGCATCATGCCAAGTTTCCAAAGCCCAATTCCCTCAGCCACTGAATTTCATCTCCAAGTTCCAACTACCACAACCTCTTTCGCTTAGTAAGTTAGGGAACGAGCTAAAGCTGGCGGGGAATACGGCTGGTAAGTTACGCGCGCTAAACTAGGTGTAGCGCATTTGGTGGGAGAGAGGGGGAGCGCACATTGTCAGGTGGGTTGGGTTTGGTAGAGACATTGGGGTGCAGCGCGGTGGTGGGGAGCGAAATGGTTGGATCTTGATTCCTTTTTGGGTATCGCAACTTTGCGTATATCCGCTCGTATAGCGTACATACGCTCCCCAAATTTTGCGCATAGTGCAACTAACTAAGTGGGTAGGTGAGAGGGATATTTGAAAGGCAGAGGGGGGGTGCAAGAGGAAAGGTGATTGGGGGCAGAGAGAGAGAGAGAGAGAGAGAGAGAGAGAGAGAGAGAGAGAGAGAGAGAGAGAGAGAGAGAGAGAGAGAGAGAGAGACTGCCCAACGCCGCGCAGTTCCCTTCCCCCCTTGTCTCTGTCGCCCCCCTCCTCCATCTCTCCCCCTCCCCCATGTATCTGTTGCTTCAGGTGGCGGGAATACCTGAGCCTTTGGAGCTGCCTGTGGTAGCTGATGTCATCATGGTGCTGGCCTCCGTTGCTCAGGTGCCTGTTCTGTTGCCCAGGTGCTTTCTCTGTTGCCCAGGTGCTTTCTCTGTTGCCCAGGTGCTTTCTCTGTTGCTCAGGTGCTTTCTCTGTTTCTCTGCAGCCTGTTCCCTTGCTTCCCCATTGCCAGTCTTTATGCGTGCTGCTTCTGTAGCGCCTTCAAATATGAATCTGCTTTGAGCCTTCAAGACTGGAGATTCGACATGTCCCACCTCCCTCTGTCCCACCTCCCTTGAATGCAGTCTCGGTCCACAGGAGTGTATGTTGACTTCACAGGCGATGCCTCTGCTGCGTGTGAGAACGTGCGGCAGGTGAGAGAGGGACTGAGAGGGAAGGAATGTGTGAGCGGTGTGCGTGGGTGGGTGTGTGGGCGTGAGCGAGGGAGCGGCCTCAGGGGTGATTTCACAGGCGATGCCTCTGCTGCATGCGAGAATGTGGTTAGACTCCGGGGCGGGGAGGCTGAGAGGGGGAGAGGCGGAGAGGGGAGAGGGGGAGAGGCGGAGAGGGGAGAGGGGAGAGGCGGAGAGGGGAGAGGGGGAGAGGCGGAGAGGGGAGAGGGGAGAAGCAGGGGGGAGGAGGCGGAGAGGGGGAGAGGCGGAGAGGGGGAGAGGCGGAGAGGGGGAGAGGCGAAGAGGGGGGAGAGGCGGAGAGGGGGAGAGGCGGAGAGGGGGAGAGGCGGAGAGAGGAGAGGCGGAGAGGGGGAGAGGCGGAGATGGGGAAAGGGGAATGTGCTTGATTGTGTATGGGTATGTGTGTGTCGGTGTGAGTGAGTGGGGGTGTGTGCTAACTTCATAGGCAGTGCCTCTGCTGCTGTACAAGGTTGAAACCTCCCCTTCCTCCCCTCTCCCCCCCCCCGACCACCACCACCACCACTTCCCCCCGTCCCTTTCCATGCCACCAGGCAATAGCATTCGGCCTGAGCAGCATGGTGGTGAGGAATGAATAGCGTCGAATAACCACCCTTCCCACCAAAAAATCCTGCATCCCCTTCCATTCTTCTCTTTCCCCCCCTCCCTCCTCATACCGCCAGGCAACAGCATTCGGCCTGAGCAGCGTGGTGGTCGGAGCGTCGATACCAGAGGATGACATCAGCGGCCTGTACGAATTCTGTGACAAGGCCTCGACTGTACGTACTGAACACGCCCTGTTAGCTTCAGTTTTCTGCCCCGCCCGTGTCTTTAGTTGGCTTGGATTCATCACGCATGTTCGTTCATTCACGTAGGAATGTGCTTCACCACGCCCATGACCAGGAATGTGCTTCACCACGCCCATGACCAGGAATGTGCTTCACCACGCACATGACCAGGAATGTGCTTCACCACGCACATTCCTTCACTGTCCACCATGAACATGCCCCGCTCGTGTCTTTAGTTGGCTTAGCTTCACCATGCACTGTGCTTCACCATGCACTGTGTTTCACCATGCATGTGCTTCGCCATGCACTGTGCTTCACCATGCACTGTGCTTCGCCATGCACTGTGCTTCACCATGCACTGTGCTTCGCCATGCACTGTGCTTCGCCATGCACTGTGCTTCGCCATGCACTGTGCTTCGCCATGCACTGTGCTTCGCCATGCACTGTGCTTCGCCATGCACTGTGCTTCGCCATGCACTGTGCTTCGCCATGCACTGTGCTTCGCCATGCACTGTGCTTCACCATGCACTGTGCTTCACCATGCACTGTGCTTCGCCATGCACTGTGCTTCACCATGCACTGTGTTACCTTTGAGGTGACTCAAGGAAATCACATATGCCCCGCCCGCCCATCTCTCTGTGTTATGTTTTTTAGAATTCTCAAGAACAAAACTTATGCCCTGCCCGCCCATGTCATGTCTCTGTGCACTTTCCCATGCACCTCGGTTGCAATTCCCCATGCACCTTGTGAGTTTCCGCATGCACCTCGTGTGCGCTTCCCCGTGCACCTCGTGAGTGCACCTTCTCTTCTCCCGCTTCCTGCTCTCATACACCACAAACAGGCGCGTGATGCGAGTGTGATGTGAGTGTGATGTGAGTGAGTACACGAAGATTCAAAGTCCTGACCCCCCTCAGAACTATGGCTCGCCCCAACTCCTGTTCGCCCCCCTCCCGTGTTCCTTTCCCTTACACGGCTGCAGGATCCTTACCGGGTGTTTATTAGAATTCTCAAAA